ATCACAACTACATCTGAAGCAAGATGCGAAAAAGCGGACAAATTCATTTATCTAATTGTGTAATGACTTCTTCTACAAATTTAACACCAATAAATGGAGTTTAATGTAACCAAAACAATTTCTAGATTCAAACTTCACATTTCGTCAAAGAGTTTACGACTTTCTTTCGATCCTCTTACAACAAGAGTGGCTGTGCAAGAGTCTAATAGGAGTTTCCCTTCTATTTCACAAAACATCCATCATGAGTTGTAAATTTCTCATAACTCGAAGCGACTCACGCACCGAAAATCTCTCCAAATTACAGGACATCCCCAATTAAATTGGCCAAAGACGGAGACGTGCCGAACAAGTGAAAGCTGTCGAGACTCAGGATCTTCTGCTGAGGACCTCCAAAACTGATCAGCGTTTACCTGCAGATTCGACGCAAGTATCTTTCGAGCGCAGATTTTTTTTGACAATTTGATAGGGTGCACTATAATATTATTTAACAATGCGTGTGAGAAATTTAAAGAAATAAAACTCGAAAATACGTATAAACATTGAATCTTCTATCTTGGACAAAATATATTGGTAGGGGTCTCGTAATATTGTAGAGATTTGGCGCCGTGCAAGCGCTTCATTCAAGTTATAAGATAAGGAATTAAAATTATCTATGATGGTACAACATATGGCAAATACTAATTGGATTCTCGCTACTCCATGAAAACGGAATTTTGAATTGAGTTCAAGTAGGAAATACTAACATTGAATGAATACGTTTTAGGCTGTTGTCGAATGGTTTATCAAGCGGCCAATGATGCTGACTGAATGTTAATTGTCAGTGTCACTGTACACGCACTGTCATATACATCGATGTATACAGTAACTACTATTCACCAGTGTCCGCGACGGTATCAGTTGCGGGTGGCCCGCTAGTCGCTATAATTACGTATCCGGCGGCGGCGCGGCGTGGCGAACCGTGTCGCAGACTACGGCGACCATGGCTTCTAAAACAGCGACGTGCTTGAAATAATGAGAGTTCAAATTGTGTTGAACACTTTAAAAGGTATTAAGTGTCAAGGAGAGTTGTCTGCATAGTTCGAAAAAATCTTTCGAAGAAGAACAAGGAGGATGTTGGGTTGGTTTGTTTACTTCGTTGATTTGTGTGTTGCACAAATCGTTCATCTGTGGTTAAATTCAATTTCATACTATGACTATGAACAAATATTTAATTATTACTATCATTATTGTGCTAGGGGTTATTTCTTATAAGTCTGACTAATACGATCTTTTGCCGGTGGAGTGTCTTTTACCATAGACAAAAAGCCTTTACATTCTTAAGTCAATGTTTACATTCACAAACGCTTAGAGGAGCAACCACTTAGCTATGAAAAATCAAGTATGAGAAGTTTCATAGAGTCAGAATGAGGGTTTCATCCTTCTAACAAAATAACATCCTTGTAAAAAGTATTATATGTACTTTCAGGCGTTTTTCCACGCGTTTTTGAAGAAAAATAACAGACGTAGAACATTTAAAATTTACCTAACCTAACCTAACCTAACCTAACCTAACCTAACATTTAAAATTTAAACAAAATTTACCATTGAAAGTAAACAATTTACGTAGATTTGCTGGTTATTTATACATAACGTACCCAAAACTAGTTTATTTTTTATTTAAATATAGAATTCACTACACACTTTCCTCCGTAGAAGCCCTGTTTGGAACCACCTCAGAATGGCCCTTGGATATGAAGTGATAGCTCGCTCACTGTAGAACATTCACCAGATGAGATCCGTGATCGCTGTGGCGTGACGTACACTGTAGCTGTGTTATCAGTGAAGGGCCGAGACCTTGAGATGAGATAAGACACGTCTTTGTCCTCACCTGCCACGCGTCCGTGCGTGACGAATACCTCCGACGTCCAGTGGGTACCAACATGACAAAGATATTTTATGACTGAAACAGTTTGTGTACGTTTTTGCCTTTCAAGGGGGTTTATTATACATCGAGCATCTTGGATTATAGAGTAAGTTTGTGGTTGGGATGCTCAATTTACAATCTGGGGCTGCCGGATCGATTCTAAAAAAAGTTATCTTTTTGGATGCTTCAAAATTTGACTCAGCGTTCCTTGATGATTTGGGACTTAATAAATGGTCTTCGATAAAGAAACAGTTGGGCTTCGTAACAAAGTAAGACAAGGACTATCTCACATCCACATCCACAATCAACTCAAATTCAAATTGTGCATTAAAATGATACACAATCATCACGATACAGTAGAATAGACTTAAGCATCCACGTCAAGGGTTTTACTAGCCCACCTTTACACCTGCATGCCACACGAATAGTACAACAGAAACTGTATGGATCATAAACATAACAAATTACGTCGCTGGCCCGAAAGTAAACATGTGTTATTAATATTTTAATGAAACTGTCAAAAACTTGTCCAAAACAGCAGTTACTGTTATTAGTCTAGACATTCGGGCCAGTGACGTAATTTGTTTATGTTTATGATCCATACCGTTTCTGTTCTAATATCCGTGGTATGCTATAGAATAGAAGGAAATTAGTAAAACAGCTGTTATATGCAAAGTGCATGATTACCTCATCGAAAAGTCACCGTATTGCGTCAGCGAATTATACCATTTATATCATTTCAAATTTCTCTAAATTCAAGCGTACATGTTCCGGAATTTTCAAGCTTCATCTCAAGGAATGTTTGATTGCACACCAAGCTTCTGACGCAAACAGCACATTGAAGTTGCTTCAAAGTGAATGCGATTGGCGGTTTCCCTGGCGTATCGCTGTCGGCAACTACAGTAGTGACGTAATAGATCAGCTGTACACCTGTCGAGAGAGGAGTGCTACTGTTGATAATGGCCTTTTATAGCCTCCAGTGAAACCGTCACACCTGGTAAAGTGAAGTGGTGGTCACGGGTTTAGGTGACAATGTGAAATAATCACACTTCACTCTAGATGGTCTGCAAAGAGGAGTAGGTAGTGAGTTTCTGTAAGTTTCTCAAAACACAGGAATATAGAGAGGAGCAGCCTCTTACAAATATTTCAAAACTACGACAAAATATTGAGATTGCTTTAACCATCAAAGTGTTATGGCAAGAGCTCAACCACTAAATAATTAAACAAGTCCAAGAAATTCATTAGTTATACCAGTTATACGGTAGACGTATTTGATTAGCGGCCTTTAAACAAATGAACTGCATTTTAAGGAATTTAGTACAAGAATCGTATTTTAAAGCATTTAAAATGTGTTGAAATGCCCTATTTTACATCGTTCCGATAACCGTTTACTTGAACAAGATGAGAAGAGGACTTTTGATAGAAATTTATCATAGATTAATTTGCATATAATTCCAGAGACCCAAAATTATATGGAATCACTGACGATGCAAATAAATGTCCTGTAAAAATACTATGTAGCACATTTTTCTCCCTTCGTTCTAGTCAAACGACTATGTATGCCATCAACGTCTGAGTAAATGTCATCCAGCGTCGCACCACGTTATACATATCTCGTCACACGCACAGAGAGAGTGCCGTGGTTGGCAAAACTGTGTCAGAGAACGTTCGCCTGAGAAACATAACCTCAAAACGCGCCGTCCACCTGTCATAAGAAACCGCCATGCTGCAAACTGTTTCCCGCCAACGTGCAAATCGCAGCGTCTGCTTAGCGCGCAAACCAATAAACTGGGAAGTTGCAATTGAAATTACCCTGACGCGGCTGACTTGCTAACAATCAATTGCTGACAGTAGTTATCTTTAACTGCGAACTTTCTCATTTGAATGCACTTTCTACAAGAAGGCACTTTGTAAGTACTTTCAGGATTACCTGTGTCAGGGTTTTAAGTACATACGTGACTGAATCCAATTTCAACGTCCAAACAGCTGTTAGTCGAAGTTATAGAGTAACAACAGGTGTTGTGGAATTTCCAACTGTAAGTACTCTAACTTGGTCGGTATCTATGTCAATGCCAACAATTAGCTAAACAGAGTTATAAGCAACGTAAACGTAATTAGAAGCGTTTAGAAGTTACAGCATTGTCACTATAATCCCTCAACTCTAACATTGCATTGTCACGTGACGTAACGGTCAAATTACAAGAATGTTTATGCAAAATATGTGTAGTAAGTCAAAAGGCTGTTTAGCAATAAGTTTTACATTTTTTGTCCAGTGAAATTATTTTAAATGTCGTAAAAGGGTAAGCAGATCAAAGTAGACCCTCTCAAATCTAATGGACATTTGATTACACTTCTCCATCAAGAATTGTCTCTACTTTAAGATGGGTTGGATTTTTTTAAATTTGCAATAAGTAGGCTATCATTGTATCATTGAGTTGCGGATGAATAATGATACTGATCAACGGAATCTGGCGAGCCATTACAAAACCAATTATGCACGTTTTCCTTTTAGTATGAAAGGCTAAAGGAATTGAGTTTTTACAGAAAAGAATGAGCGGGTATTTCGGTTTGTGTACAGCAGTTGGCTGTTGTTTTTGGACTCGATCTCGGCCAAAGCTGCCCCAGAATAACCTGGTCTACGTCGCCGCCCCCGACACATACATTGTAAACTCTCCGGTAAATGTCATTCTTATAAGTTCATTATTAAAAGGCAACTTGGGTAAAATTTAACCGTTAAGTTTTTCCATGTGTGAAAACAAGCGAACAGTTAGCTCTATAAATATATCGTACTACATTTAGTGGCTAAACATGCTATATATTAAACAATCGTTTAAAATTGAAGAAGAGGAACAAGCTGTCGCACTTAAAAAATAAGAAGTAAATTCAATATTAAAATCCCACTTTTTCTTCACGTATTAATAAAATACCAACATAGACTACTAATAATAGTTGTGTTCTATCCTTGCTTACACCTATCTGTTTCCATAAATTCAAAGGATTGACGTTGTTTTAAAGGAAGGGCAGTTACTGAAACTACATATTTATGTTTCCAACGACAAATTAAGCAACATACAGTATTAAAAATTCTTTATTCAACAATTAAATGGGGAAAAACTACATAATTATACTTATTATAGACTACCATATCACGATTCATAAATTGAACGGTACACGTCCAAAGCACATATCAGGAAAGTTTGGGAAATTAAGAAATAACATAGTTTGCAATTTTGAAGAAAGCTAGTTTGAAACCTAAACCATACTTCTAACTGGGACAAGAGGTAGTTTAAGATCGTTCCAGATTTCAACGAGGTCTTGCACAAAAGATTCCATCATCTGTTGAGAGTGATGCGGTGTTGGAACTAGTCGTAGCCTTTCCTCCCCTAACCTCACAGTGGGGTAGTTGATGGCTTGAACGTAGTGTCCTCTCTGCATTAGAAGATCTGACAAAGCCGTGCACCGAGCTGGGTCTCCAACCTTTATGGGGATGATGTGTGAAGAAGTATGATCAATTGGGAAACCACATTCAATCAGTCTGGTCTTCATGAAAGCCACGTTATCCTGATGTCTAAGACGCAGGCTGCGACCCTCTGGTCCACGAATGACGGATATCGCTGCCATTGCACCTGCCACTACGGTAGGAGGAAGTGATGTGGTAAAGATGAACCCAGCAGCGTAACTACGAACCATGTCGACAAGCCTGCTAGTGCTATCTATGTATCCTCCGACGTTTCCAACCGCTTTGCCCAAAGTTCCGGAAATTACGTCCATTTTCTCTAAAACACCATCTCTTTCACCAATACCTGCTCCTGTATGGCCGTAGAGCCCTACAGCATGAACTTCGTCCACGAATGTCAAGGCTCCAAACCCATGAGCTATCTGGCAGAGTTGTTCAACAGGACATACTGACCCACTCATAGAATGGACGGTTTCAAACGCGACAATCTTGGGAACGCTTTTGTCCACTGTGGAGAGAAGTTCAGCCAAATGCTTTGGATCATTATGGCGAAAAATGTGCTTTGGAACTCTACTATTTCGGATACCTTGGATCATAGAGGCGTGATTTCCTTCGTCTGAGAATACATGACACCCTGGTAAAGCTCTAGCTAAGGTGAACAACGTTGAATCGTTCGCTACAAAACACGATGTAAACAAAAGAGCAGATTCTTTTTGATGCCATTGTGCGAGATCTTGTTCAAGATTCTCTATCAACAATGAATTTCCAGAAATGTTCCTAGTTCCTCCGGCTCCTGAGCCGTAGTTATCAACGGCGTCTCTGACTGCTTGTTTCACAGTGGGATGGCAAGACATGCCCAAGTAGTCGTTGGAACACCAAACGGTCACTGGTTTCTCACCCCAGCTGTGCTCGAGTGCCAATGGAAATTGTTCAGCCAGTCGAGACACCTTCTTGAACACCCTGTAGGAGTGGTCTCGCTTCTTTCGTATTATCTGATCGTGAAAGAAATCTTCGTAGTTAAATTTACTACCGATGTCTTGTTTCATTGGAGACTTTTCAGGAGAATTCTTAATGTCACTTCGCTGCTTTCTTTCCTCACCAATGGCAGCTTCATCTGGATGTTCTATGTCATCTTCTTGAGTTTTCTGACGCACCTCCCTTATGTCATCAAGAGAAGGACATTTCGTTGCAAATGCCACGGAACTTTGTGTTGTAATGTTGCGACTATTACCAAACACCAAACGTGACATCACGGGACAGTGGCTCCAGAAGACCTTAAGTAAGTCACAATAATTGTGAACATAAGTAGACGGCAGACATTTCAAGAACGGACAAGGCATTTCTTATTTTATAATGTTGATAATGATGAAAACTTTATTATGGCACCTGAACAGTAGGTAAAACGCGTTTAACCTTATTTTGAATGTTTACAAGCACAACAATAACAACTCTGTAATGTTCCAAATAAAAACAATATAAACAGCTGATACAACGTTCACGACAAATTACAGATAAAACATACTACATGTATTCATTTAGTAACCACGGTCATTGAGCAAACAAATATACTATAAGAAATGCTATCATTTGCTAATTCCAACTGTCAAAACTTGGACTCTATCTTCAAATGTCAATTTTTATTATTCAACATGAGGTTTTTACAACAAGCATTAAGTACATCTGTTTTATTTAATCCCCAAAACAATGGCAATTCACCACTTCAATGGAATAGCCACGTGTAAGAAATTTCCATTGTCTATTCTCTATAAAATAGGTTTTATCTGTTAGATTGATCGATTGTAGCAGGGATTAAACCAAACCATTGTCATTCACAAGACTGCAAATTGCAATTCGCACATTTGATGAGTTTACGTCTTATCTTGGCATTATTAGTGATTGAAAGTTTTTTAAATCAAGTTGATCACGTGTTCTATACTAAATAATTTATGGTAAGTAAGTTTTCAAATACTCTATATCGAGGGGGTCGTAACACGAATCTTCACACAGTATTTATCGCCTCTACAATATTTACTTTACAGTTACAGTGACTATATAGCCAATAAGTGAGAACATTCATTTAGTATTTTCAACACGTGTACATCCACGACTATCTGACTTGTAAATTACTTATCATCGTTTACAGTCTTCCTCTTATCGATTTTGTATTGCGCTGTAACTTTTATTGCTTATCACTCCAACCTTATCGTCGGCGTGTCAAAGTGTTCACAAATTATCTTTCGATCACGTAGGCGGTTTTTGCATTTTGAATGTAGAAGAGAGGAGGTCAAACGAGAAAACGTTTTAATTAATTTTCCGTCGGTTGTACGCTCACTATTTAAATGATATTTAGGCTTTTATTCAGTATTAATACTTATCGTCTGGCAAAATCAGTTACTAGGTTTGAACTAAATACAACTTTACTAATAAACTCTTATAACTTTACCTAGACTTAAACAACGGAGTGTAACGTAATTTTAACTTTCAAAGCTCGGGTGACAAACAGTTAAGGATTCTAGGATCGGAAATAAGACATATAACTCTTCCCAAGCATATTATTATATAAATCAATTTTCCAACTTTTTACGTCTATCGTATGGGCTATGTGATAATCCATAAAGAAGTTCATATGCATAATTTGTTTTTATATGCAGACATGTAAGTAAAACCTAGCGTTCAGACTCAGAGTCTTAAATACTGAACCTCTTTCAGTACAAGTTTGCAAATAAACCTCTCTGATAGTACCGGAACTTGTAACTGGAAGAGATAATAGTTACAGGGTAAAAACCGCGACGGAACTCCACGTCTTGAACACAACACGGTCGGGTGTCTGGCGAATAGCGTTGAGAAACTGCATTGTTTCTGGAATTGGATGTTATCATTACAAGTAACTGTTATTCAGAGAAAGCCTGGGTACTTGAGTAAGTGACTGATGGATTTCACACCAAATCTGTGCGTAGAAGTTTTCGTTGAATTTGGACCCTGAACGTAATACTTCGTATCTCATAGTAAAGAACGAATACTGGACGTACGTTTTTAGTCCTGTTGATGGATATTGAGTTTAAATTAAATAAAAATATAACAAATTGTTAATTTACCAGGCAAAGTTAGGGAGGGCTTCGTGGATATTTCTTACGCTAAGCCTGACTGAAATACTTAAACAAAATAAAATGACAAGGAGGTAACTTAATCTAATACCAAGTGAGATGTTGAAAAACAAATTCTCATATAAAAATATTAAGCTTAACTAAAAAAAATGGGCTTGATAAATTATAGAAAAAACCTCAGTATCTATGAGAACTTTGAAAAATGTAATGATGCTTTATTCTTGTGACGTGTTCGGCATAGTTATTACCATCATCGAAACTGCACACAGATGAAACCAAAATTAACTAACGCAAAAATGTATTGTTGTAACCTGTTCTTGGATGTTATAAGAACTACACAATTTGCAGGTAGGAGACGTTAAATTATTCTTTAATCTCAGAATAGACACATAATGAAAGGACACGTTAAGAAAGGAAATCTCAGAACAGAAATCGTTGAAATTATTGTGTATTTGATTGCTTATGTTTATAGGTATTTAAAAAATAATTAATCTGTACATACTACATTGATAGAAAGAATACACTTACAAAATGAAACAAAAACAACGCCGATCAGCTTGGAGGATTCCCACAAAAACTACACTGGACACTAAACTTTACTAATATAAAGCTAGACCACTTTATGAGGGATTATTTCGGAAATTTTGCCAAATTTTTTTTGGATTTAGACATTCCGGCGTTCGCCCGTTCGCTCGCGACTACATCGCTCCGGCAGCGCGTTGCAAACTGAACTGACAAACACAAAACACAACAATCGCCTTCCCCCTCCCTATCTCTCTCAGCAACAATGACTCTCCCCCCTCACGTCATCAATCAGCTGATGCACGCTGATGTCAACAGCTGAAACGTGATGGGATTCCCACAATAATGTAAAGAGATGTTTAAATAGTGTTTTCAGCTTATGAGTACCGGTACCTTAAAACGGAAAAGTACTGTGATCCCGGGCTTAAGAGTCTTCATCTGTGGTAGCCATATTTGATTTTAGTCCCATAAGACCATTGTTACTTTGAAACATAATTTCTAAAAAAAGACCTGTTGTGCTAAAGAATGATTGAGGTGTTAAAATTAAGGTTTAATGGTCCTCTAGGGATTCAACATTTTAGGATTGCCATCTTTCCTCCACTTAATAAGTTAATGACCATTTTTTAAGCCAAATAATTTATTAAGAAAAGACAAAAAATATTTGAAATATAATTTTCTCATTCTCTAGTACTCTATGTTATAAACCTAATGACAAATTTTCAAAACTATATCTTTATAAATAACACCGGTATGCTACTTCAAATGATGGTATGTTGTTTCAAATTTAACATTGTTTTTATGGGACTAAAATCCAATATGGCTACCACTTATGAAGACTCAAGTAGTACAGTACATTGAAAAATACGACAGCTACAATGTAAAAATTGTATATTATGTAGATACCTACTGTATGACTTATACTTAAACCTAGTGCGTACATGTAGGGGAATTTCCTGTTAGATAACCATAGCTTTATCGATAGTTTTGACATTTACATCCAAGTTTACTTTAGATTGTTTTATTAACTTGATACCATAGTCAATGTCTTATCTTATTACTATCTAACGTCAATCTGTCATTAAATAGAATCAATTAATAGCCAAATGACTAAACCAAACAGTGTTGTTTTATTTTAATTTAAATTTATTATTTATTCAATGTTATAATCTTTTATAAAACTATATTACTTTTCAAACCATTTACAGAACAATTAAATTTAACATACAGATAATTTTATCTCCTGTTAAGTTAGTTCGGAATAGCGGGGTCCAGATAAGTGGGACTCCGTACTCTGTTTTACCCTAACAAGAGCAAATAAATTATGCCCGAACAATGTTAAAGTAAGACATTGTAATGGAGCCAGTTGGTAGAAGGTCGTGTAGTGTTAGTTTATTCACGAGGATCGTGGTCCATGAATATCCCAGAGCTCATTACAACGGTCCCTGCACCTGGGTAAAGGGTCTGCCTCAATTCAGCAGACTGATTGTGCTTCCAATCGAATTGTAACCTGCTAAAATCGAAGAGAATATTCATTGGGTTATTTGGTGGATTCAATTTTACTCTTTGATAAGATTGTCGTTTGACTTTTTTAGTGGAGTTCTGTCTTACTTCCTGCTGCAAACTGTTGAGGGCTTACTTATATTTTGCACGTTAGGCTATAGACCCATATAAAAGTGTGAAGCACGTAGAATTAATTCTGAAATTTAATAAAATAGATAGCGGTAAAACATTAACTATACACATTTTCTGTTTCATTGTTCCATAGATAAATAAGTTATAATGACTTTAGAGAGAGTGTTCTTCAAAGGGGAAGTTTTCAATGCCTGTGATTAATATTTTTTTTCTAGACAAGTAAATCCGTACCTAATGTTTATCCTGAATCACATAGAACCATACACACACACACATGATGGAAATCTGAAAATTTGGTCGTTGTTGGGATTTGAACCCAAGCTTATTTATTAGGTGTCCTCCTGATTGCGAACAGTCCTGATTGCGAACAGTCCAGACTGCGAACATGTTTGGGTCTACGAGGTGGAGGGGGTCGTCCGTGGGGTGGGGAGGATTCCTGATTGCGAACACATTTTGAGTGGTCGGGGTTTTCAACCCTTTCATAGAAACCCTTAACAGAATGATTTAGCTTAAATCACAACTTAAGACTGGTAATATACATAATGGAAAGGATGAATGTTCTTGAAGACACATATCTTTATGAGACGTAGTATAATTATAGGTAAAGCCCCTCATTAACAGACAGATTCTTCCAGACTCACAAATTCGTTCTGATAATAGGTATTTACTGGCTGTTTATTTAAAATTAACTATAATATGTTTGACTTGAACAAGCAACTACTAAACAATCTCAGAGTAAAAGAAATAAAACAATCATTTCATATGAACTAGGGTACCTGTTGCTCGAAATCGAGCAACTGTCAAGTGCCGGAATTATAGGTACAGAAGTTATTTTAAAACTACAGTAATAACAGTAATAATTTTCGATGAGTTTAAAAGACCCGACTAAATACTTATGTGACTAATTGTAATACTCACGCTATTAAATAGCTCTTTGAAATAATAAACGCTTCTTGTATTTTAGCAATTTTTTGGACCCGGCCTTAATTTTTAGTGTTTTCTACAAATGTTTCCCGACTTAAAGCTTTTAACCAGTAAACATTTCTTGCATGTATTTATTTGATCGGACTTTAGGTAGGTTTACTTTATCACTGTGACAAC